TTTGTTGTCTTAGTATTTTTTTGGGCTTATAAACACTTAGGAGAACAAGTAGTGGGGAGATGTGAGACTTCTCCCTTGATTGCTCCAAAGTCTCACATTTCCTATTCCCACTACTTGTGCTCCCAAGCCTATAAATAAAGTCTCTAATCCTCTTGTATGGACACACTTGAAATTGAATGAGAATTAGTATTTGCATTTTGTAAACTCTTGAGATAGAAATTATCTCTTAGTTAAAATTTTGTGATCTTATCTTGTCATGAAGCAAGTGGTGATCACCATCCTTCATTTATACTGGAACTTCTCCCAAGTGGTGTGAACACTTTCCATAAGTTTTCTTTTTCTCTTTTTTTCCATTTTATCAATTTCTTCCTTTAATTATATAATTGTTTAGCTTTCTCTTTATACTTCCACTTCTCTCTTTTAATTTCTCTATTTAAATTGCATGTTTCCATATCATGATCAGTGCCTCTAAAGATATATAGTATATTATGCTATAGTAGGTAGATTGTAGAATCTCAAAAAATTTCCTTCTGCCCAGCAGAAAAATAGACCACTTAGAGGACAAATTAAAGTATCATCAATACCTAAAACATGTGTATGTACGTGTATAATTATACTGTTATCATTGTTTTTAGTTTTCTTTGTCTGTCGAAATTTGGAACGTTCTTCGGAGCATTGGAATCGCTATTATTGCTTTTAAATGACTGCATCCTAGGTTCAATTGGTAGGAAATGAAATAATTAACGATAAGAGCATTGTTGATTGTTATGTAAAAATGTTTATCTATACATTGGGTGGGAAAAGGTACTTTCACAAACTGCCACTTAATTTGATCCTATTCGTGCTAGGAATCTACCAAGAGTTTATAATGTAAAATGAAAATCCTTTTGATTGAGGTGTATTATGGCTCTTCTTGTTTATTATCTGGGAATGGTTTATAATTATCTTTGCCCAACGTACACCTTTTACATAGTTTTTTTTTTTTTTTACCATTTGCTGGTGGATATTATTGGGAATATATGTTTTATTTTATGTAATTAGGTATTAAGATACTTTATTAGCTTTTAAGAAATGAACATAGGATTATTATTTTGATTTAGGTAGTTAAGATGAAGATATATTTAATATTTTGTCATATTTTTACTTTATCTATATATATAAAGTACATGAATAAAATATATATTCATATGATATATATATTTTATATATTATAAATACAAATAAAAAACCCTAATAATTTCCCATAAGTGGTTATGACTTATAGACCGTGAGAATGTAATTGTATTTCGAAGGATTGAATTTACGAAAAATTGTGGAAGAGGATTACATGATCCGCTGCTGAAAATTCTGCTATAGCTCAAATTAAAATCCACAAGAAAAGAAAAATGAGAAAGAGAAAAGCCCAACAACTAACTATATATAGGTCAAATCATAACCCTTAAGTCACCAAAAGAAATTTGTGATTATTTGGAAGAAGAATATGAAATATCCATAAACAAAAAAGTTTTGAAAGAAAAACCCTAACAACCAACTAGGTCAATATCATTTGAGAAACATCAATAACTCAAGAAAGAATTGTTACATATGTGTTAGGAATATTACTTTATTATCTTTTATTTAAAGAGAATAAGATATTATGTTATTATTTTGATTTATACAATTATGATTGAGATATTATTAATATTTGATATTTTGTATATATAGATAGAGTAAAAATCTGAAAATTCTCATAAGCGGTATCATAACTTTGGTTCTCACTAAAGGGATGAAAGGAGAAAGAAAATTTTCACAAGTTGTTATTTTAATTTTTGATGACGAAAGTTATCACTTATGGGCTATGAGAATGTAATCCTATCTTGAAGGATTGGATATATGAGATCATTGATCTTGAAAATCCCACCATAACCCAAATCAAAATCCACAAGAAAAAAAAAAGAGGAAGACAAAAATCAAGTCATGTTTATATGTAGGTATTTCACAAATGATCCTGATCATAATCATAACCTTAAAGTTACCTAAAGAAATTTGAGATTATTTGTAAGAAGAATATGAAGTACCCACAAAGAAAAAAAAATGAAATTTTTTGAAAGAGAAAACCTCAATAACCAATCAGTCCAATATTATTGCTAAGAAACAAGAATATGAGAAATAACAATTTCTCGAGAAAGAATGCTTAGAGTAGAGATGAAGACAATGTTACATGTAACCGTGAACTCGAGAGGCTTAAGACTGGGATGAAAAAACTGTAGAAGTTGAAGGAGTTTAAACCTACCATTTGTTTGTGTTGTAAGATAATAAAACAACAAAAGATAAGATAAATGGGTACTCTCAGGAGAAAATATATTCTTTACATTATATTGTGTGGAGAAAAGATCAATGGAAGATGACACTAGTAAAAAAAAGGCTTTTAACATCGGTTCTAGAACCGATGTAGAAAGTCTAATATTTTTATTTATTTTATTTATTCATAACCCTCTCTAATTACCCTATCTATATCATCTACCATCCTCTCCCTTTTATATTATATTTTTATTATTTATATTTTTTAGGAATTTGAATTATTATCAGATTAAGAGAATTGTCACTAGCAAGATTCGAACCCAGTACCTTAGAGTCGAGGCTGATACTCCAACCACTAAGCTACCAGGATTTTCGATAATAACTTATACATAAATTATATTTATATACAAATAAAAATGTATATCCATGTAAATATATAAATATAAAATATATAAATACAAATACAAATATATTTATATATTTATATGTTGGATGTGAGGACGCTCTCGAGGATGAAAGTGTGTGTCGAGTGAATTTTCAAAATTTGATGTCAAATTTGTGAGCGGATCTCTTTATATGGATTATAACATAATGACAAAATATAATCTTTATAATTTATTTATATAATGATATAAAATAAATTTTTTTCTTTATTTTATATCATTATATAAATTAATTATAAAAATTATATTCTATATTATTATAAATAAATTATAAAGATTATATTCTATCATTAAATTACAAATTCATATAAAGATACTTGCTCACAAATTTGACGTCAAATTTTGAAAATCTACTTGACACACACTTTCACTCTCGAGCGCGCTCTCACATCCAACATATAAATATATAAATATATTTGTATTTGTATTTATATATTTTATATTTATATATTTACATGAATATACATTTTTATTTGTATATAAATATAATTTATGTATAAGTTATTATCGAGAAAATCCTAGTAGCTTAGTGGTTGGAGTATCTTCGACTTTAAGGTATTGGGTTCGAATCTTGCTAGTGACAATTCTCTTAATTTTATAAAAAGACTTTTTACATCGGTTCATCTTGGAACCGATGTAGAAAGTGTTTTTACATCGGTTCATCCGGGAACCGATGTAGAAAGTGTTTTTTACATCGATTCATCCGGGAACCGATGTAAAAAGTGTTTCACATCGGTTCTTAAAGAACCGATGTAGAAAGACCGATGTTAAAAGTGATTTACGTACTAGTGTGAAGAAAACAAATTTCAATATGTTAGGGACTAAATGAAAGATTGTCAATGCAAAAAAGAAAAAGCCTAAAAAAAAATTCAAATAAGTAAAAAAAAAACATTGAAAATATTACTTTATTATCTCTTATTTAAATCGGGTATTAATAGATTTTTATTATCTTTTAAGAGAAAAAAAAGATATTAAGTTATTATTTTGATTTAGACTATATATAGATAAAGTACATAAATAAAATATATATGTTTTAAGATATATTTTATATATCGAAATACAAATATACAAAACTTTACAAATTCTGATCAAGATGCAAGAAATATTATAACAAATGTGTCTTGAGAAGGAGAAGATCAAATAGATATGCAAGACCAAAGATGAAGAACTTGTAAAATATAGAGGTGAAATTGAAAAGTTCTTGCACCTACTCGAAGATATTACATTTGGTGGAGAAAAGATCAATAGAAAATAAATAAAATAAATTTATAAGAACTAAACAAAAGACGCTTATTACAGAAAAGAAAAAGTATTATGAAGATAAATATCATACACATGAGTTTAAAAGAAAAATATGATAGTGTTGACAATAAAATTAAAATAAAATAATGATTAGAATGAAAATAATTACATAAAAAAAGAGAGGAAGGAAAACTAAAAAAAAAAGAAAAAAAGAGAAAAATTAAAATCAAGCAAATAATATTAAAATAATAAAAAATATATATTTTATTATATTTTATCAAGTATTAAGAGATTTTATTATTTAAAAAAATATTAAATTATGATTTTAATTTAAATAATTATAATTAATATACTATTAATATTTAGTATACATGAATATATATATATATATATATATATATATATATATATATATAATTACACATAAAACTAAAAATTTCCAAAAGATATTTCTAAAATATGTTAAAAAGATAAAAAGCGAGTGGCGGAGTCAATTGGTCCTAACAACCATGAACAAGGAAACTGCCCCAAGGTTAACCTTGTATTGCCTCACACCTTCTCAACAAATTCGCCCTGGTTCACTGTTTCTATATGTTAGTGTTCTAGGAAAATAGGGAAAAAGTTGGTTGTTGAGTTATTATTGGGGTTAGTTTAGTTTAGGATAGAGGTTTAGTGGTGGGAGTCGCCGTGTAGTCTTTTGACTAGAAAAAGAGATAATGTATTGCTTTATCTTCACTTACAGATGCAACGGGCGTGCTCTTTTACAGTCAAATAAATCATCCTCCCCCTTAGTTTCAAAGTCGGTGGTCTATAAAATAATTACTTTTCTGCTATCTTTTACTTTTTCGTGATTTGTTTCCAAAGGAAATCATGGACAGATCATATAGTTCTTTCTAAAAATTTGAAGCAACTGTATATATGTGTCCAAAGCGAGCATGCAGCAGACTTACAAAGCAATACATATCCATACCTACATTGTTACGCAGTTGAAGCAACTGTCTACGGTTCACATTGAGATTGAACTTTCCAGCATATATGGCGAATTCAGGAGCATCCCGTGTTCATAGTTTTGCTTCGATATTGGAATATGCTATCAAAAGTATGGGAGGAGATTTGGGGGCATTGCCTCGGCGTGGTTTTGCTTTGGCAGTGGAGGATGCGTGGAATAGTATGGGAGGAGATTTAGGAGCATTACCTGTGCATGCTTTTGCCTCGATAGTGGAGAATGCTATCAGTAGCATCAGTGGAGATTTGGGAATATCCCATTCCCCTGTGCATAGTTTTGCTTCAATAGTGGAGAATGCTATCAGTAGCATTAGCGGAGATTTGGGAACATCCCGTTCCCCTAATCATGGTTTTGCTTCGACAGTGGAGAATGCTATCAATAGCATTACTGGTGATTTAGGAACATCCCACTCCCCTGTGCATGATTTTGCTTCGATACTGGAGAATGCTATCAGTAGCATTACTGGAGATTCGGGAATATCTCACTCCCCTGTGCATGGTTTTGCTCCGACAGTGGAGAATGCTATCCGTAGCATTGCTGGAGATTCGGAAATATCCCATTCCCCTGTGCATGGTTTTCAAGTATTCACCTTAGTTGAGCTTGCAGCAGCCACCAACAACTTCTCAGTTGACAACATGATCGGTGGTGGAAGCTTCAGTGTTGTGTACAGAGGCAAACTCGTTGATGGTAGTGAGGTTGCAATCGAAAGGGACGAAATGTGGTCTTGTAGAACGCATATGCAGTCTTTCTTGTCCGTCTGGTGGAGAACGTCTGATTTGACCTTCTTGTCCGGTTTACGCCCCAAGAACATGGTCGGGCTGGTTGGGTTGTGTGAAGAGAAAGATGAGAGGCTCTTGGTGTATGAGTTCACAAAGAATGGGTCGTTATATAATCATTTGCATTGCAATGGTAGCAATGCGTTGAATTCGTGGAAAATGAGGATCAAAATTGCTTTGGATGCTTCCCGAGGAATAGAATATCTTCATAAGTATGGAGTTCCATCTACTATTCACGGAGACATCAGGTCTTCCAAAATTCTTCTTGATGCTGATTGGACGGCAAAGGTATGTAACTTTGGAAAGGCAGCAGGAACCATTGGATACATTGATCCTGAGTACTTAACTCGTCATGTATTAACAGAAAAGAGTGATGTGTATGGGTTTGGAGTTGTACTGCTTGAACTTTTAACAGGAAAGAGACCTATATGTGGGGAAGATGGAGGCACCCGATCGCATGTGATAACCTTTGCAGAGCCTGCTATTTTGGCTGGGGATTTTGTGAAAATTTTGGATCCCAGGGTTGGAAAACCCCGTGTCAATGAAGCAAAGGCAGTGCAGTTGATGGCCTATACTGCCATCAGTTGCGTAAATGTGAAAGGATTTAGACCAACCATTGCTGACGTTGTGGTCAATTTGGAGAGGGCTTTTGGTTATTTCTGGTAGTAGCCACGATAGTATTTCCAGGGTACCATGCCTGCTGCTTTACTAAAACAAAAAACCAGAAAGACAACTTTCTGTTGTTTCAGAATGTTATAATACAATCCAAGGAAAGAGGGGAGAAAGTATTGTTAATTCTGGGTCTTTCAGAATTTCATAATTATCTTCATTGCTTCCCGGGAATAGAACATCTTCATAATTGATAGCAGAACTATTCTTAATTATGGTCTAACATATCTGTTCAACCAAAAGTATTTAATCTTATTATTTGACATTTAATTTTATTTAACAATAATTATGTAGTTCCATCTATTCTTCACATAGATATCAAGTCTTCTAACATTCTTCTTGATGCTACTTGGACAACAAGAGTATCTGAATTCCAACGTTCTTCCAGAACCTGACCATGTTTATACAGTGTGAGGTGAGGAGTAATTTCTGTTCATTCGGACAAGACAAGGAATCTTGTATGAAAATACCATGAAGTTTCCGTCTCATTATGAGAAGTTTCCTGCAGACACAAACCAATCCCTCACATTAAAAGCAGTACTTTGTCTCTCTTTCTTTAGGGTCGTTGCCGACTTCCACGTTGAAGTAGGGCACAAGTTTGACGCGAAAGGAAACACCAAATTATTGGTTCTTGATTACACGGTACGGAAGACTCAGGTCTCAGTTTGCTCCTCTTTTGTATTATACAAAGAATTCAAGTATGAATTTTGTCTCATTACGATATAGAACAACCATGGGAGTTGGGAATACTGAAAATTTTGTGAATTTTTATTGATTCTTTCTATTTATTTACAAACTAGGAGCTTCAAATTTTACAACAACAACGAGCACACAATTTATTTATTTATTTTACTAATTTAATCCATAAATCTCTCTGAAAATTCGCTACATCAATCTGTGCTATCGTTTAGCAATGCTCTCAAGACGAACAATTTAAAATAAAAGGTGATAGTTTGTTACTTTTGTTTCTCAAATTAAATCAATTCATGTGATAGAATATGTAATTTGTGCTTTATGCCATTATTTCTGTCTATCAAATTTTATAGTACTACTTTGTGTTTAAATAAAATAAAGTATCAATAAATCTTACTATTAGGTGAAAAAAAAAATTTACATTACGTCGTAACAGAAAAAAAAGATATAAACATTTTTTAATGTGATTTATTTTTAGCATTATTTTAAATCTATTATCTATAATAACACAAATTTTAGATAGGACACATGTCATTACATCATACAATAACTTCAGAGTAATCATTTCTACTTCCCTACCTGTTTTCTTCCTTCACTGTATTCCAAACTCAAGCTTCCCTTCTTCCATTCTTCGTGCTACAGTTTATCATCACATCTCTCTCAACCTCTCCTTCTTTCTTTTGTTTCTCTTTGTTCTCATGCAAATGAAAATTGTGCCTTCTTTTTTTCATCTAACCGTCGGCCACGACTAGAGATTATTCTCTTTTTCACGACTTTTCAACACGGTCCCATGGGTAAGTTTTCATTGACGATTTTTTTCTTCATATTTAACGTACATTTTTCAGGATTTTATTTCGTAGTTTCTTATTTTCTTGAAAGGTAAAGGTGAGAGTTGATTTTCGTGTTTTTTCCATGATTTGTCTGCTTTTCACAGGTGAGCATTGAATTCGTTATCTTCTTTATCACTCTGTTTTGTCAAAAACTGTATGTTTTTCAAAGGTGAGAGTCGATTTCATTGTTTTTATTTTGAATGAACTTTTTAGATTTGCACGATTCTTCCCTTTCTAATGCACTTTGATGTTCCTCAATGTGAACAAGTTGGCAAATTACCTGTTATTGTTTTTACGATTTTAAGCATTGTTTTTATCTTTTTATGACATTATATTTTGTATGTTTTGATCATTGGTTTTAAGCATTATTTTTTAATTTATTTGTTTATATGTTTGTGAAATTGTGAATCAAACCTCATCCTGCACTCTTCCCTTTTGCATTGTTCTCCGAGATATTCATTAGGGAAGATTCTTGAAATATCATTGTTATTGTATTTCAACTTTAAAGAAAAAGGCTAGTCTATGACATGTTTCTGTTTCTTCATAGAAGCAAATGATTTCCAACTGTGATTCTTATAACACATGCATGTGAGTTTTTTAACATTTGTGATATATTCTGAGTTCGTAATATCAATCATTATTTTGCTTCTCAGAATAAAAAATTATATGAATTTAGAGTTCATTGTGATACTTATCCAACCGACATGTACTTTTTTTTTAATTTTTTATCTTGCAAAACCATCTCATCGGTGTCTCACATTTTTAGGCATGAATTTAGTGGTTCACTCGTTACTTCATGTGTCAATGACTAAGGTTGACCTTCTCTTTTCCTTATACCTTCTCAAGTAATACAGGTTAGATCTCTGTAATTGTGTATTTACGTGTTCTATATAACATACATACATTCACTTAGCTAATGGACATTGAAATCTTTAGCAGAATTGGCATGGCTGATATCGCAGTTGATGCAACGACTTTTAGTTGGGCAGTGGACAGTGCCATATGGAGTGAGAGTACGTCAAATATGGGAGAATCTCGTGTCCATAGTTTTGCTTCGGTAGTGGACAGTGCCATAAGGAGTAGCACTGATACTGAAGCAGATTTGGAAACGTCCCCCATCCATTATTTTTCTTTTGCTTCTGCGGTGGACAAAAGGACTGCTGCTGCACGATTATCACAAGCAGCGTCGGATGGGAGAGGACATGTTGCTGCGCGATTATTCACCCTGTCTGAGCTTAAAGCAGCCACCAATAATTTCTCACTTCACAACAAGATTTTTAGTGCTGGAAGCATTAGTGTTGTGCATAGAGGCAAACTCTTTGATGGCCGTGAGGTGGCTATCAAAAAGGCTGAAACCAGTTCTAAGGTGAAGGATTTTCAAGAGGTATTTGGCTATTTATCGAACCTTTTGCCCCGTCTATGCCATAAGCACTTGGTTGGACTAGTTGGGTTCTGTAAAGCTAAAGATAAAAGGTTCTTGGTGTATGAGTACATGAAGAATGGGGCGTTGTATGATCATTTGCATGACAAAAACAATGTGGACAAGGGGAGCAGTGTGTTGAATTATTGGAGAATGAGGATCAAGATTGCCTTGGATGCTTCGCGGGGAATAGAACATCTTCATAATTATGTAGTTCCATCTATTATTCACAGAAATATAAAGTCTTCCACCATTCTTCTTGATTCTACTTGGACGGCAAGAGTATCTGATTTTGAATCGTCGTGGTTCATGAGTCCAGAACCTGACCATGTTTACATGGATACAAGTTTGTTGACAGCAAAGAGTGATGTGTATGGGCTTGGAGTTGTACTGCTTGAACTTTTAACAGGAAAGAAAACTATGTTCAAGTATGGCAGGAATAGAGACACCAGTATGGTGAACATTGCACGGCGTGTTATTTTGGCTGGTAAAATGGTGAAAATTTTGGATCCAAGGGTTGGACGACCACATGTGAATGAAGAAGCAGAGGCCCTGGAGTTAGTGGCCCATACAGCGGTCAGTTGTGTAAATTTGAAAAGGAAAGATAGGCCAACAATGGCTGAGGTAGTGGCCAATTTGGAGAGGGCTTTAGCTATTTGCGATCTTGGCCCGTGATAGCAGAAAAATAGACCATTTTACACTCTGTTATGGCAATTTAATTTTGCACAATGTATATACATCTGCCATGACAGATTAAGTATTGATAATGCCTTTGTGTTATTTGACATTGGGAGAGTCGTAATTGGAAAATAAATTTTAAATTTGTTATTATACAAAAGATGTCTAACAAATCACTGTGCATATGTTAAGTTAGTCTATTTTAAAAGTAAGTATTTATGATTGGTTGACATACATACAGCTAGCATAAATACGCGTTGTGTCTATATATATATATATATATATATATATATATATATATATATATATATATATATATATAATGGATTTCCACCCTTCTGTCGAAGCACATAACACACAATACAAACTTTCACATGGATGATATCACAGATTATGCAAGTAGTTTTGGTTGGGTAGTGGACAGTGCCATAAGGAGTGACACTGGCTCAAATTTGGGAGCATCCCCAGCCCCTGAAGTAGTTTTGCTTCAGTAGTGGACTATGCAATTAGAAGTAGTTGTGCTACTGAAGCAGATTTTGGAACATCCCCTGTGCATAGTTTTGCTTTGGTAGAGGACAATGGCATGATGAGGAGTAATACTGGTGGTGGAGCAGATTTGGAAGCATCCTCTGTGCGTGGTTTTGCTTCTGCAGTGGACGTGAGGAGTGCCGCAGAGTCAAATGTGATGGAATATGATGTTGAGGGTAAAAGAGATGGAAATGTAAATAACTGTTGAATTCGTTTCATAAAGATTAAATAACTGTTAAAGTATATTTTAAAAAATTAACATTAAATTTAAAAAATTAAATATTTAAAATTATATAATAATTACTTAATTTTCAATATATTCTAATAAATTAATTATTCACCTAATTAAAAAATTAAATAATTTTTTATTTAATAATTTAATTTAATCATAATTAGATTAATCTATAATAATTTATTAAATTAAATAATTAAAAAAATATATTTAAGTATTTTTAATATTGAAAAATTTATTTTAACATAGGAATTTTAATTAAATAATAGAAGAAAAAAGAAGAAGAATAAATTAAAAATAAAAAAAGAAAAAAATTATTTTATATCATTATATAAATAAATTATAAAGATTATATTCTATCATTAAATTACAAACTCATATAAATAGACTCGCTCACAAATTTGACATCAAAATTTTAAAAACTCACTTGACACACACTTTCACATCCAACATATAAATATATATATATATATATATATATATATATATATATATATAAATATGTTTACACGATATACGTTTATTTATATATAAATATAATTTATTTATAAATTATTATTAGAAAATTCTAGTAGCTTAGTGGTTGGAGAATAAATAAATAAAAAAAATACCTACTTACTGACGGACTTTTCAAATCCATCGGTAATATTTACTCGACAACACAATTTCCGATGGATTTACGTTCGTCGATAACAAATTTTCTTGATTAGCGACAGATTTTATCCATCGAAAATTTTAATTTTTTTGTAGTGAATGTACTAGAAAATAGAAGTCCCACCTCCAAAAAATTAAATAATGTTGCAGTAAAAAAATCCTTGAAATTTTGACTAATATGATTATAGTAAAAAATCAAGATTGTAACCTAATCTTAAATCTCCTTTTAATTTGTTGTTCTGTTTTTTATGTAGAATTATTGAGTTAGGATCGAGATTATGTTATTATGTTAATTATCTTTATTTATTTGGATACATATAATGATGCTTATTTTTGTTGTTATAAAAAGAATATAATATTTATTTTGTAAATCACTTTAAACCTCTTAATTCTCTTTTCTAATATACACTATTCAAAGATAATAAGTTGGTTATCCAAGTTATAAGATAAAAAGGTTAATGGGGAGAATCTCAAACACATGCACCAAAATATTATGTATTGTGATATGTCTTACATTTCACGATAAAGTAAGAAGTAGTACCTAGCATATATTAGGACAAATTTGGTTAGTAACAACAAGTTTACTATAGAGTAAATCTTATAGTCAATCTTAATAAAGGTTTATTGTGAGAAATAACAACATGAAATATAATAATAATATATGGTAAAAAATTGATTGATTAAAAGTGAGAGAATGTGAGAATATGAAAAGAGAATTCACACTTTAAAAAATTTATACATTAGTGTTTACTTTTCTTAGTATAACATGAGCACAATATTTATTTTGTAATCATTCTAAATCTCTTCTTCTCTTTTATACTAGTACATTACATAATAAAAGAGAAGTTTTATTTCTCTTATTTATTTCTTAAAATTCTTTCACTTAAAAAAATGATGGTATTGTTTTCTCCTTAAATTTAAAAAGATATTATAATTGATTATGATAATAAATTTCTATTATTTTCTTGTTGATTTTATTTTATTTTATTTTATTTTAGTTAGGAGGTGTTACTCGATTTCTATTATATAATATATTCAAATTTTCAAACATTTAAAAAAATATTTATGTATTATTATTAAGTGTCAAATATTTATGTTTTTATGTTTAATTATGATATTTATCTTTTGTAATTATTAAGAAATCAGTAGTAGAAACTATCATTAATATCTAATTGTTCATATTTTGAGTGTTGAAGAGTAAAACAATCAAACTCATGTAATTCTTTGGCACTTGTGATGTTTTCAGAAACAGTGCCCCTAAACACCTCCGGGATGCCACGCTTAATGATCATAAGACTCATGCGATTTGAGCGATCCCACTTCTCATAATCTTTTTTCTGTTCGGAGGTACTTGAATCCGTAGGAGTAGGGGGTTGCTCAGTCCTTAACGCAAGATCCATATCCATGCAACCAAGAACAATATCAATGTTCTCTTTCCAGTCCTTAAAATTTGTTCCATTGAGGACCGAAATAGAATTTAAATTGGCAGATACAGAAACAATTGTAGCTGAATTTAGAACACGAGAAATAAACTAATTATGCTCACATTATATAAAAAATAAATAATATATATTCAAATAGTGGTTTAACCCATCTCAAGACACCCAATGCACCATCAATATCAAGTCTTTGGACAGTAATATTAACTGCTAGAGGTATCTTATTGTAATAATCAAACATTGACAATAAAGCACGTCCAACAACAAACTAGTCTTTAGATTGATTTATCATCGACAAAGCAAATCCTTATGATTATCACATGTTTATCATTACAAGTGTATATGCAATTTGGCCAAATATTAATCTTCCTTTGGGCCGACTAATACTCGCATGAATATACACAAACACTAACATTCAATATTTTTTATGAACTGCCCAATTCAAGAGAAGTTACTTTGGTGACTTCTTGACTCAATTTGCTCACAAAAAATATTAAACTACCAAAAATTGAATATTTTATTTATATAACAAAACCAAATATTTAATATTTGCAAACTAATTCAAAAGAGAATAATCTCATTAGAATTCTACTAAGGATGAACACCTCCCTAAAATCTCATTAGGGATGAACACCTCATTTGAATAAATCAAATGATGAAAAAATGCCTCATTTTCCACCAATACATAAAGGATGAACATCTCCCTAAAATCACACTAGGGATGAAACAAAGATAGTTCTGAGTCTCTTTAGCATACTGCTCTAAACCCTAAAAGGGGATTAAACATTAATCACTCAAACCCTAATTTAACATCAAATTTTCCTAAAAATAAGAACAGTCACACCTGTGGAAACATTCACCATTTACCTAATATTCTCTGTGTTGGGAACTCCACAAACACCACCCCCAATTCCAAACCCATAAAATTAAATAAAAACAAAAGATTCAAAAAAGAACAAAGAACCCAATACAAGAAAGATTGAAATTTGAAACATTGTTTCTTTCTCAGTAAAACTTGAAACTTAAACCGAAATAAAAGGAAAAACCGAAGAAGAAGAAGAAGAATCCATAGCTTCCTCCACGATTCCATCAGCAAGCAGAATCAGATTGGGGATATTACCCCCAAATTTAAATTTTAGGGTTCACGAAAATTAAAGATTATTCTCCACTTAGGGTTCATAAAATTGGGTAATTTGAATTGTTTAAAACAAAATTAATCCTAATTTTCATAATTAGGGTTCTATAAATTAAACGAGACATGAATCAAATATGGACGGCTCCGATACCAATTGTTGGAAAAACAATAATAATAATAATAATAATAATAATAATCCCGATTTTGATTCTAACGATCAAACATAAACATAATCCCATACTCGATAAACATGTTGTAAACTCGAATGCGAAAGCGTACTCGAATTAGCCATAACGATGATGTCTTTGTAGAGCACTATATTGATCTTATGGTCTTCCACCTGAAGAGCACCTGTATTTCCCTCTTGATTTTCTCTCTTGATGGGGATAGAAAGAAAGGAACGAAACTGATACTTACGTTCTGTGTGTGTGCTCCCAGAAGGGGATCATGACCCTTTAGATAACCAGAATTAGGTTAATTACTTAAGTTTTAGTATTTCCAATTTGGCCCCTCATCAAATTAGAAATTGCTCTATGGTCTCTACACAATTTTATTTTCATGACATATGCCTTTAGCCAAAACTTTAATTTAGTCAGATCACTTTATTATTTGGCTTAATAAATAATGGCCCTAACACATTTAAATTATGTATTATATATATACATGACCCAAATTTTGCCAACAACTTGTCCTCCAAATTGAAATTGTGCAGGTAAATTTTGGAGTTGACTAACATATCCAAAATATGGATAAGGTTGTTGATCATTTGACTGACTAACACGTTGATTACTCGACTGACCAACATGTTGATGACTTGATTGACCAACATGAACATGACTAGGTTCGCCAATATATTGGGATTGTTCCTACTGCTCCATATCGATCTTGTTAAAAAGTAAAATCAATATTAGTTTGATATGAATGTTATATATATAAAATAAAATTATTGATATACTTCTTCATCAAAATCTTTTTTCGTGGATAGAGGAAATATATTTAATAGTATGTTAAAAATACCATATCATATATGTTGTATTTTCATGCAAGTAGTTATTCTCGTTGAACTCGTTTCTTTGAATTAGTCGATTGTGATAGTCATTCCACATAGTAATCCAAATTTCATGATATTAAAGTCAAAATCTATCAGTTCTACCTCTCATGTCTTCTTTATGAAGTTTGTCAAGATTGATCGGGTCTTTTGGAATTGGTTGACAAAGTCCAAATTGCCTCATAACCCGATTTGCTGGATGAGGCTTAACAATAGCAAAACATATCATAGGAACTATAGCACGACTCACAAGAGAAACCTCAACATTTATTAGTCGTTGTAACCCAGGACAACAATAAGGAGTCCACAAAAGCTGTATTATTTTATAGAACTTGTAAAATTAGAATTATTATCATTTAAAAAATACATATTGAAAGTTGTATTAAATGAAATACCTCCTTATCTTTTAATTGATCAAATGTTAGACGTAATACATGTAGTGATAAATCTTGACTATTGATTTTAGGGGGTCAAATAATATATTATTAATAAATAATAAATATAAAATGATGAAAGAAGATGAAAGAGTGAGAGAATAAAATTGTAAATATATAAATAAATATATTAAATGATCATTAAGTTGGAGGAGACAAAATCATAAATTATACGAGAGTTAAAAGTGATGAGATGATAAAATTGTAAATATACAAGTAAATATATTAAACGATTATTAAGTTTAGGGGTGTCAGAATCATAAATTACATAGGAGTTATAAAACTTGGGAATAACGAGCCAGCTGCGCTACTTCATGTAATTTATATTTCTCAACTTTCAATTTTGTAAATAATTAGTTGTCTATTTCGCTATAATATACAACACAGGTTTTTCTACATACAACAATATTCTATAAATCCAAATAATATGGTTTTCATAGTACTAATTTTCCCATATTCAAACACGTGCAAAGAAACAAAGCTGAGAAGTCTACTTGTAGTGGGATACATGGTTAAAATGGTGTGGAAAGGGTCATGAGTTACAGGGTTTTTTCATGCTGTAAAAGTCAAATTTTGTTCACTTATCTCTGCACCCTTTCACATTCTACTCAAAACAATGCTCTAATAGTTTAGATTGAACCCTAATAAGCTGCACTAATTTAAAGACAATAATAACAAGTACAATCCTAATTTTGACTGACTATATAAATGAATATTTTTGTGCTTGACAGTTGGTAAATATGCAATTTTAACAATTTACAACACAACAGTAATTGATGAGCAAAAAGTAATTCTAAGAATTGGATGGCTAGAAGAATTACAGGAACCCAAAGAATTGAAGGTTCCGAGAATGTTACAGATAAAAGATTTACAAGAATGAATAAAAAATTATCAGGTGGGCCTTTTTTATAGCTAACTATGTATCCAACTTTCTGTTTTAACATCTTAACACCTGCTGCTGTTTTTATTCTAACAGTAATGCTAGATAATTATCCTAATCTTTAGAAGCCAAGAGTTTACCATAAAAACTCGATAAACTAAGTGTGAAATTTTAGAAAGAATGAATAGAAGTTCACAAAATGTAAAGTATTTTGTCACCTCTTTCTACTGTTGAACTGTATCATATATTTATACATCGAAGATAGTACGGGTGGAAATGCAATCATGGGGGGAACTATATATCACAAATAATATCCAAAGATTTTTCCAAATTGAGCACAATTTCAGCCATAGATGGTCTATCTTTCCCTTCCAAATTCACACAACGGATAGCAGTATAGGCCACTAACTCCACTGCCTTTGCTTCATTGACACGGGGTGCTCCAACCCTTGGATCCAAAATTTTGGCCAAATCCCCAGCCAAAATTGGAGGCACTGCAAACTCCACCACACTTAATGGGGTGCTTCCATCTTCACCGCACAATATAGGTGTCTTTCCCGTTAAAATCTCAAGCAGTACAACTCCAAACGCATACACTTCACTCTTTGCTGTCAACACATATAGACTGCAGAACTCAGAATCTATGTATCCAATAGTTCCTGCTGCTTCCATCAACGACGACAATCCAAAATCAGAAACTCTTGCCGTCCATGTATCATCAAGAAGAATGTTAGAAGACTTTATAGCCCTGTAAATATTTGTACCTGCATAGTAATGAAGATATTCTATTCCTCTGGAAGCATCCAAAGCAATCTTGATCCTCGTTTTCCACGAATTCAACACAATGCTACCCTTGTGATGCAAATGGTCATACAACGATCCATTCTTCATGTACTCGTACACCAAGAGTCTATCATCTTTTTCTTCACAGAACCCAACTAGTCCTACCAAGTGTTCGTGGTGTAGACGTCGCAAGAAGGTCAATAAATACCCAAAAACAATCTTTTGAAACTCCTTCATCTTGGAACTGGTTTCATTCCTTTTGATAGCCACTTCACTACCATCAACAAGTTTGCCTCCGTACACGACACCAAAGCTTCCAACACCAATCTTGTTGTGATGTGAGAAATTGTCGGTAGCATCTACAAGCTCAGCCAGGCTGAATAATTGTAATCCTTCAACAAAAAGTCCCGTGGCATTCAACGGAACTTGTGATGATCCTGCAGCAACATTCCTCGTATAAACTTCCGAAGCCAAACCATGCACAGGGGAGGTTTCTAAATCCGTTCCTCCACTACTACTCCTAATCACAAAGTCCACTCCCGAAGAAAAACTATGGACACGAGGAGTTCCCAAATTTGACGGAGTCCTACTCTTTATGGCACTGCCCACTCCCGAAGCAAAACCGCAGACACGAGAAGATGTTTCCCAATTTGACGAAGTCCTACTCCTTATGGCAATGTCCACCATCGAAGCAAAACTATGGACACGGGGGGATGCTCCCAAATTTGAAGAAGTCCCACTTCTTATCTCATTGTCCACTGCCAAAGTAAAAAAACTAAATGCATCAAATGTAAAATAATCCGCCATGTCAATGCTCTCATCAATTTCACTCTCCATTTCATTTGATCTGCAACAGAAAGTATGTGTGTATAGACTCAACCCAACATGTTTTGTATTAGTTGCGATGAGAAGGTGCGAGGCAAGAAAAGAGAAGTTTCGTGTTAACGATTGGATCATATGGGTGTGTGAACAAACCAGTCCTAGTTCTTGATGATAATGTAAAAGCTACTGTACTGAATCAGGATGTAAAAGTCTCACATAAGGTTTGAAAGAAGACATTATATCATGTAAACGCAAGAAGACATTATATCATATAAAGACTGAGTTGATAAAAAAAAACATAATAATAATAATAGCAATAATAAAAGAAAGTAATTCAAACTTGTATTTTTACGCTTTTTCAATTCCTAAATAGTGGCAAATTGAAATTCTCTCAATAAATTAACAATTGAAGAATAAATTACTCCATTTTCAAAATTATCTATACTCTTTGAATGACATAACGAGGTCAACGTTATTTGATAACTCTGCGTGACACGCGTCAACGCTATTTGGTCGTTGCTTACTAATTACAACTATGGTGGTTCCCACCAGACCAGACACAGGCTATTGCAGCAATTTCAACACAACCTTTCACTGCTTTAATTTGCTTTCTAAAATATGGATTGTAGTTAACCATCATATCTCCTTTTAAACAATTGACTAACAAATTAATTATCTCTTAATTTATTTTATTAACTCCTTCTCTTCTTCTCAACAATAAAAATTTGAAGCCTTGTATGTAAAAAGAAAAAAATATATATTATTTTTTATTTTGACATGATAGCTATGATTTATTATTTCACTCTCGTTAATTACTACTTGATGATAAATAGAAGAAAAGGATATAAATTAACAAAAATTAATTAATATAATTAATAAATAACTCAAATTTTAAGAGGTAGAGAGAGGACTCTGACATGATAACTCATTTTGGAGGAAAAGGAGAATTGTGGGCACCACCATTGGATGAGGTTCAGGAATCAGAATTAACAGAAAAGATGGAGGAAAATGTGACACTGGTCAAGAAAAAGAGTGGATAGTATCGAGTGTTGTAGAATAGTATTCTCAATTCTTCCATCCGTTTCAGATTGAGTAGTGTGATTTGTCCGAATCATCTAATTCGAAACATATTCTCCATATAACTACGGATTATGTTATCGGAATATAATTTTACCTTCTCGAATATATGATTCATACATATAAGTGAAAGAATCAAGAGGCAAAACTGCAAAATTCCTGAGATTTTTCTGCCAAAAGCCAAATTATCAGACCAAAAAGACTATATTATTCATCCAAAATTTATTCGACCATAATTTCCAATAATTCTAACTTAGGAAACTATCAGAATGTCTAAATGCCTATTAAAATACAATTCCTAATCTAGGATAAAAGAATGCATGGAACCATACGAAGCATATTGAACTTAATGCACTATATATCCACATTGAAAGGGAGGAAAAGTATTGTAATCAGACTGATTAAAAAAAGGGGGTAATTAAACTGATAATCATTTCATTCGAGAATATCTTTGTCTTCGTTCATCCACTTCATTCATCCAATCAGAAAGCCATAAAAGTCCTTTGTACCCACAATATGTAGCAGCAACAAGTATGACAAAAATTAGGACATATAGAAGAAGCCGCTTCGCTCTGGAAATAATTTTCTGTTCAATGATATTCATGAGTGATCAGCGAAGAAACAGACAATTAGGACTTCAATATAGCTCTATTATTAAGAAAACTAACATTACCTGTAGTTTTGTTGTTTCCTTGGATTCTAGAACCCGTTCCCTCCTTTTTTTTCGCTTTCGAACTAATTTTTCTGTATCCGGTTCTTGTACCTTCAATAATACTAATGTATTAGACACTACCATTGCACATCTCAATAAAAGCAAGCCTCCCCAATTCAATGAAAACAAAGAAAAACAAGATAATGTAGAAATTAGAGTACATAGTTAATGCACTGACAGTGTAAAGTATCATCAAATCACATATAGACATATATGGTATGTTTATTAACATCTATATTAATTACTTTAAATTAATACTTGTCATGATTTCTGTTTAGTTATAAATAATTTAAACTAACGGTACATAACTTGAACTTTAGAAGTTAAAGCCGTTTGATATTGGAAATAAGATAATTAATCAAATGAATTTTTTTAATTGGTAACATATTCATCCACTCAATTTCAACCAGTTATCCCCGTGTCCCCATTATTCCAAGTTATAACTATCTGGAGTTCGAAGTGCTGCGTGGGGCATGCCCAGATAAAAGAACTTCTTTCATAGAATGGATAGCGCTATATTGAAGATTTATCCTAGTCTTAGAATTCACGGATTCTGTTAAGTTCAAATTGACCTAAATGGTCATGAACAACGTCAGCAGGGGCCCTCGCTCATTCACTTGACACTTGACCAAGACATAGGTCTAAAGATTCATTGAAGTTAAAGGTATGGTATTGGTTGAAATTTTAATTTTATTATGTATGCATATATGTAGGGGTATTGTCAATGTATAAAATGAGACTAACTTTCTCACAATTTAATGAATGTATAATATTTTTAGGTGTTGCAAATTTGTTTCAACAAAATAAATGTGAATATATGTTGCGACAAAAACTTGATTACCTCGGTAACCCTAGATTTACGCAATTGTAGTTCTGACTCAACAACTTGCACTTTACTCTTACAATCAGAATTGCAAGGAATTAGTCCAATTCCAAATTGAGTTTTTGGTATATCCTTTGGGTGGCAACCCGTAAGATGATATGCTGCTTGAACATCTTGACAAACCCACTCCTTTTTCAATGTTTGGCATTTGCATCGAACTGTGACCTGTAAAGAATGATTTCATATTTAGAAGTCAAATTAAACGAATAATAGGTGTATTCAATTTTCTTGGAATGCAGTGGCTTGAACAGTAGTACAAAAACATAGCTTGAGCTAATTGTGTTCTAACTATTGAGTCTTGTAGTACCTTTTTACAGCACTTGTCAGCATTTGTGCATTGACCAGGATGACATGTCTCTGGGCATAAATGGGTACAATTTGGCAACTTTCTGCAAAACACATGACCAATAGGCCGGTGATCTAACTTTAGTAATCAATTAATAGAACAAGAGAGGAACCAAAGCCTAACAGAGGTTTAACTTAAATTGGTTTCAAATATTAAATTAGATTTTAAATAAACAAAATTTGCTAGTCTCGAATTACCTGTGACATGGCCCACCACATGATCGGACACTCTCTTGACCCTTTGCGGTCAAGGTATTGTAATATATACAATCAAACACATGAACCATTGCACCACAGTGACATGACCGTTTAATGAGCACCTTGCATGGAGGACAGTCTCCAGGATGGCATCGCTGAGGGCAGTTATGTGGACATGCGGGCTCTCTTTCCTGATGAATGCAGTTAACAAGTCAAGCAACAAATTATCAGTTCTGATTTTAGAAAGTATACAGGAGAGTTTCTCAACTTTACACTGGAAGACAAATGAAAAACTTCATTGACTAAGCATAAATCCAGTGATAAAACATACAGATTACACCACATACTATAAATGGCAAAGACACCAGTGGAAAATAAATAATAAAATAAAATGGATTAATGGAATAAAGGAAGATTTAACACCTGTTGGCAAGGAAGAGAACAATCTTCACATGCTTCGCTTCCTCGTAACTGGTTCTCGAAGGCATGGCAGGTTTTTGTACAATAATGATTACCGCATGGTAGAGGATTACCACATAAATTTTCACAGGAGAACTGTGATTTATCAGAGCAAACCATCTGATAGGAGGGTGAAAAAGAAAGCAGTGACTATATTAGAACATAAAATAAGTCAATGCAAATTGCTTTCGAGCAAAATCATCAAATCTTGCACATTAAAGTTCATATAGAGCTTTGAAGATAGGCAAAACAAACCATTCTCTCAGCACCAATGTGTTGCCCAACACATGATCTCCACACAAGTTCAGGGCAAGGAGGGCATGGAGTGGCAGGAACACCTTCATTTTGTTGTATAATCTTCTTTTTCTTTGGTTTCAGAGTAAATTCTGGATTAGGAGGAGGCTTAGCACCATGACACCTTCACAAAGACAAAAGATTTGAGGAAAGATATTACCTAGAAGTTAAATGTATGCACTAGTCGTTAACTCATGTGATACTAGATTCTGATGAACCTCATGCATTACTTTGTCAAGACTCAAGAACATGAGTATAGACAACTGAATCTTTGCTTTTGGGGTTTCCATTAATGCTAAATGCTCAAAAAAATCATAGTCCTAGCATGCAAGCATTGATTTTATCATAAATAAAAGAGAACTTCTTATCAAACCTCAATTTGCATGTATGGCCACATTGGTACTCTTCAGCACACGGTAGCCGACAAGGATGGCAGGCTCCATAATGGCATTTATGTGGCTAGACAAAAACAATAATTTGTTAACAACATGAAAGAGAAAAAAGATGCATCAACAACAATTAAGCATACACTTTACTTTGAAAATATAAAGAACTTATAAGAATAATAATGATATCCATGTTTTTTAGTCAATCAAATTTAGATAAAGGCAACAATAGAAACTTATCAATATATACTACGAATATTTATTTTGTAAAAATAATAGTCCAATAAAAATGTAATCATCCCTTTTCAATTTTTATTGTATAAGGAAGTCAACTTTATTACTTAGTGGAAATTTTCAAGACCAAAAACAGTTTCAAATAGAATTGGAAGCTCTAGTTCATTCAAATAAAAAGCTCTTTTTCGATTATGGATTTGTGTAAGCAAAAGTCATGACTTGTAACAAGAGAATAACAGTGATGAAATCTGAAAGACTTAAAGCTACAAATTCATAAATCTTTTAAGGTCAGTTAAAAAGCAAAAGTCATGACTTGTAAGAGAAAATAACAGTGATGAAATAGGGATAGCAACAGGTAGCACAACATATAAATGGTTATATTCAAACCAAATGAAAGGACTGTATAACTCAAACCTGCTCCAAACTCCTTCAAAAAACTCTATAATATCACCAAAATGTCTTGGTAGAAAATGATCATACACTAAAATGAAAAGAATGGATAATATTTCAAGTCAACACCAATTAAATTAGTGTTTATATAAAGGATACAAAGACAAACTTATACTTCCTATAATTAGCTTCTGCTCAAATACTAAGGGTCTCTCATCTGAATATTTGAAATCAACCACGACTTGGAGAATTAGACACTCATGATGATCGGAAAAAGTAAGCTTCTTTACATAAAATTTTAAAATGATACTACCATTTTGTAGAAAAAAGAGACAATTTTATTTTCTAAATTATTTTCCTCTACCATAGCTTCAGCCAATAACTCAGTATATCTCTGCTTGGAAATGTAAATGCCTGAGTAAAAACGAGTCAGTATCAAATGGTACCTTGCAATTTGATGCATGCCTGCATAAAGGAGTGATAGGACATGGTTTGGGACATCTAGGAGGCTTTTGATCCATTTCAGTACCACAAGGAACCTGGTAGAAAATCCACAACTCAGCACAAGATAGTTCAGGCCAGTTTTACTAAAATTTGAACATAGCATCAAGTTCCAGAATATTATTATATAAGATAACAGTGCCATATTGACCAAAGGAAAAGTGAAAACAGACCACCATAAACAAACACAAAGGAAGAAATAATAAAGTATACCAGTGTTTTGTGAGTGTTTACTGACACAAGCAACCAGCAATAAGATCAATTTACTTAAATTCAGAATATGTTCAAAACTTTAAATGACTTTGCCTTAATTTTAGTTACCACGGTGTATTACATCATGATTATATTACACAAACAAAGATGATGTTTTGTTTATCAACTGTCCAACACCAAAGAGACATCCCTGCAATCAACTCAAACCTGCTAATGACAATAATGAGCTCCGATTTCTTGTCATATTAAAAGAAAATTCTGCAAGTCACACCTTTGAAATAAATCAGGTTTTCACTTTTGGTGCTTGAAAATGAGTGACACATGTAAAGCAAAGTCTTCAACAAATGTTTCTCTTGAAAGTTATCAAACTTACACCTGACTCCATCATCATCTGGTCATCAACTTCCATGAATTTATCAGTTAATAGTATTAGTTTTCAGAGGTGCATTAACAATTTAAACCATCATTTAAGTTCGTGTAACAGGATAAGATCTTGCAACTCTTTAGACGTACTCTCATGGATAAATCTAGATGTGCACATTCATACCTCAAAACGTGTCTCTCCACACGCACATGAAATTGTCACCATTATTGGGCAAGGAGCACAAGGACCTCTGCAAGAACAAAGTTAAGCCTCATGATGATGTGTTCTGCCTGTATCGTATACTTCATGCTCCACATGTTAGATTAAAATACAGTTTTGTCCATCTATTTAGTTTCTATATTCTTTTGTAAATAATAATAAGATATTCCTTCTCTATCTAGTCCATTGTGATGACATTTTATGACACATTAATTGACATCCATGTAGTAGCATATGGATAAGAACTTAGAAGATGTAATTCTTGCAGCCAGATAACAGGATACAGCCCTAAGGCAGTTGGGATGGCCTGATCTCAGCCTAAAAGTCACCTGGCTAGCACCGTTTTTCTTTCTAAAAAATGAACAGGCTGACTTGATTTCAACTCAGATCTAATATCATAAATGGTGTCAGTTCAGGGAATCATGAAACTAATTTTTAAACAACAAACAAAGCAGTATTTTAGCTATTCCCCTAGTTGCCTAAAGGGATACAGACTCGGCCCTAGGCAACACAGACAGAGGCATACCTATGGCATGGAGAAGGGCACTTATGGTTCTTACATCGAAGCCTCCTTCCGCATATCTAACAATGTTCATAAACAAAAAAAAATCAATCAAACTCATCGCCATCAAAATAAATCTCTTGCCAAACAAAACTGCTACAAAACAGGCAGACACCTCTGAGCAGGGTGGGCAATCCCCATCACAGCAACGCCGCTTGCAAGCGTGCCGACCACAGTCACGCATCCTCTGGCACTTCCTTTCACATGCCAAATCTTGATAGCAAGGAACCTACTCTAAGTTCAATCAACTTTACCTACCATAAACCAAAAAACACATCCAAATTCAAAATAACAGAAATAACTTACATCTTTCTTGAGGCTCCCGCATCGACAGGACTTCTTTACAACAACCCTACAAGTCTCAACGCACTTTCCACGGTGGCACCGCTCTGGGCACCTGTGGTAGCCACAGAGCAACATCTTATCACAGGTAGCCCCACAAAGCTGCACAGTAGCATCACAAGGCATTCCTTCATAAACCTTTTTCCCACAAGGGCATGTTCTCTTCCCCTTAAGGGGACACTCACCACACTCACCAGAATGACACCCTCTCTCACAAACATGTTTCCCACAGCTAAGCCTCTCCTCACAAGGATGATCACACTGAAAAACGCGATCACAGCACTCCTTCTCCTCTTTCACCCTCCCACACTGGCATATATACACGCCACGTGTCCGGCAAGGAGGGCAAGCTCCACGGTGGCAAACCTCAGAGCAACGGTGAACCCCACAATCCAAAACCTTGGAACAAGGATTATTACATGAAAATTCCTTGAAGCCACATCGTCGAACATCTTCAATGCACCCACAAAAGCATCGAACTTTAACGAGTTTGGGGCAAGAGGGGCACGGCCCGGGATGGCAGAGTAACAAACAATGGTGCCCGCAATTATGCTTCAACGGTCTTCCGCAAACCTCGCCGCAAGAATGTGGTAAAACCCACGGATCGTTGGGAGGGTTATCCACCTTCCCACAGAAGCAGAGATACGTTTTGGGAATGTGTGATTTGGGATACTCCGATCTGCATTTGGGGCAGTTCCAGAGGGCGGTGTCGTAGGCGGTGGCGGGGGAGATGGGGAGGCGCGTGGCGGCGCGTGCGGCAGCGAGGTCGGAGGCCTGGCGGGCCCAACTCTGAATGCAGATGAGGTGGAAGACGGCGAAGCAGAGGGAGGAGCAAGACCACGTGGGGTCGGAGGGTTTGATGCGTTCGAGGCAGATGAGGCACGACAGAGCTCCGGCGGAGGAGGACGTCAAGAATGATTGGATCTTCGAGAGATCGGCGCCGGAGTGGCCGGCGAATTCGAGGTAGGGCTTGAATATGGAGTCGGAGAGGTCGGAGTGGCGGAGGGGCTCCGCAGCGGATGAAGCGCCTTCCCCGTCGGAATCGGAGTCGGAGAGAAGGGTTGGTGGCGGTGGCAACAGCGAGTGAGAGTGGGGACGAGTCCAGGGTGACGTCATGTTGGCAGTGATGTGTTATGGGACTCGGCCTCAGGGTGCCAAGGCTATACTGTTGCTGTCTTCTTACTTAAACACCTTTTGTGAGTGTTTTTATGTATTCTTTCGATTTTACACGTGCAATGGCTTTTATAATATAATTTTTATTAGCTTAAATACTTTTTTTTTCATTTTTTTAAAGAATTTACACGTTCAATGGTTTTTTTTTTACTTACTTATTTATTGGCTTGAATATAATTTTTTAATAAATTTATTAATTTTACAATTAGTTCCCATAATTTTTTTTATTAATTTCTTTTCATTTATTTCCTATAGTTAGAATTTCATTATTATAGTGTTATAAGATAATTAACTTTGTTATTATTTATATATTTATCTACATGTTTTATTTTGTTTAAATATTTATCTTTAATAGATTTATTACTTTTGTATTTTGATTTTTTTTTAATAATTAGTCTTTGATAAACTTAATTTTTATTTGATTTGTACCTCTAAATTCAATTATGTTATAAATTCATTTATTTTATAATTGTGAGAGTTGACAAAATTTAGAATATTAATAAGTTAACTTAAAAGTCATCATAAAAAATTGAAATACATTAGCATAAAATACTAATTTTATCCTTCACAAGCCATTTTATTTCTATCAATTTACTGTTCAAGATCAGTTTGTGAGGAAAGATTCATGTGGATGTATTTTTATTCGTGGATTTGTATATAAATTTATGTGTGGATCTAGTGGAAACTTCTCATATTTATGATTTGTAAAGAAAGTGGATAAATTATCCAAAATGTGTATAATCAATTATATGGTGACCATTTTAGTATATTTTTTTATTTTAAAATTTAATAAATATTTTTTAGAATTAAAAGAAAGTTTAATCATTTTATTGATTTTAATAAAAAAAAATATTAATATTACATTTAGATATAGAAAATATTAAAATTATATTTAACTTTTTATTAATTTTATTAAAATAAAAATTCATAAATAAATATTACATTTTTTGAAGTATAAAAAAAATAAAATTTCTTCCTTTGAAACTTAGATTATAAATTTAAAATATTATATTTATCAAAATCGATAAATTTAAAAAACAAAAAATAATTTTAAAATCAATATAATAATCACTTAAATTAAATTTTACCATATCTAATTTTAAAAATAAATATAATTTTTTTAATAATTATACCTTTAATTTTTACTTAATTTATTCCTTCTATTTTACAAATAATTTAATCACTAAAAATATTATTATTCAATTATTCTATTTTAAATTATATCAATCATATCAACTATAATAAATTCACTTAAATCTTTTTAAATTTATTATTTTTTCCTTCTAAACAATCTCACAAATACACTTAAATTATTTCAAATCTACTCCTTCTGATTCTTACCCCAATCTAAAAAAAAAACTAAACTAAATGTAATTGTAAATAAGATTTAATCAACTAACGTCTTATTAAATATTTAATAATAAATATTAAAATTGAGTATAAGTTTTCACTTCGACATAATTTCTTAGATAGAGATGAAGACTCATTTTCGTATAAAGACTTAATATATCTACTTTATTCCTATGAATGGTATCTATTATGATACATATTTCATTGAAACAAATGTAAAAATTAATGACACTGCGCAACTAAATACTTTAGAAAATAAAAATTAAACATTCTAATTGGATTACTAAAGACAAAAAAAATATCAAATATGAAAAAAAATATATCAAGAATTAATAAAGTATAAAATAAATTACAAGAGATCAAATATAAAAATAATAAATTTATTAAGACCAGTCAAAATGAAGAAAACACACATAAAATGATAATAGAGTGGTAATTGTGACATCAAGCCTGAAATAACATACCATTACTATAGACTAAAGATGAAAAAAAAATATTTTACTGGAGACACCGTATAATAAGAAAAATTCATGAGAAATTAAATACAAAATTAATGAATTTGTTAATACTAAAAAATGTAGTTAACTCTTCTTTATTTGATTAAGAAAAAACATATTACTTTAGAAGTAGTAATACATAGATTTTTAAGACCTAAACTAAATTTTTATCTCGTTTCGTTTCATAGCACAACCCTCTCTGACTTATATCAGATAAAATGAATATAAACAAGCCTTACAATTGTCCTCCAGAAAAGAAAACAGAACGAAGAGTATAGACTACAATCTATTTCTCGAAAAAATAATCAAAAATTCATAGAAACGCATATCTGGGAACAACATTGCATTTGGAAATTCAAGTGTGAGAGTATTAATTAAGAATAAAAAAATTAAATAACATATAAAAAAATAGGACCCATGATCTAATATTTTAAAATTTTTATTTTATTGATAACTGTTTCTAGTAAATCTCTTCGAAAGATTTAACACATTGATATTCCCAATACATCGTTCTCCCTCACACCCTTATGTTTTCAGTCAAGGATGAAGTAAATAAAAATCAGAATTCAACATAAGCAACATTTACAATAACAGCTAAGTACAGGCTTTTACTGTAACATTTTAATGACCGTACAAAATATGGAGTAGAAGGATGCACAAAATCAAATGAATTCAAAGCGCATTAGAAGCTTCACATTGTCATACTTTTCTCCTTTGCGGGAATATAGTGGAACTGCACGAATTCCACTTCTTAGTTCCCACACAGGTAAGCACGTTTGGCCACCAAAGTCATCCTTCCCAGACATGTCATACTCATGAACTTCTACACGAAGCAGAGCCAGTTCTGGCACAGAAAGTGGGAATTCAAATACCTCATTCCATGAAGGGGACCAATTATCCTCTATAGTCTTAGTTTTTTTCATTATAGTATCATAAGGGACTCCGGCAATCCCCACCTGCATAAGTGCTTGTCAAATAATAACCACACTGAAGGTACCATGTGCAATAAATAAACTGAAAGGAAGCAAAAAATGAATTGAAAAAATGAATTTTAAATCAATAATAATCTAGTAGATTGTCTTAACATACTCTTGCATAGAAGTCAGGGGGTGAGAATTGATCAAAGTGCGTGCGCTTGAAATCATAAAACCATCCTTCTCCCATATATACAGTCACCTAAATAAGAGTAACGAAAGTATGAGCTTTATTAGGATCTAGATTTTAGACTACAGGCACTTAGAAAGGTACTCCATTCAATTCTCCCGCCAGTAAAGCTTTTACCTTCAAAGTTTTCTTCACAGGCAAATGGGCTTCAGGATCAAAGACGACCTCATTATTAAGACCAGCCTCTAATAGAAAATCTGGTTTCTTCACATAACCACATCCTCCATTGGCTTTGAACATTCCCTGCATCAACCAAAGAGATCTACCATATCCCTGAAATGGAATGGAGCCACGCACAATGAAAACTGATTAGTGGACATCTTTCATGACCTCTATCATTTAGTCATGAATACAGTGCATGATGTTACATGTCTGTATAGATGAAATAATCTGGAGTAAGAAAATATTCACTCTTTTTCCGCCCTCCCTCTGAACCTCTCTATCCCTTTTTACTTTCTCAACACGTCTCATCATGATAATGCAATAAACTCACTTTCATGGGTATAAATGGAGTAATCCCAAAATACTGCGAAAGTTAGTTATCTTAAAACGTACAGTCCCAAAGTTTCAAGAGTTGTGATACATGAAGGTATTTATATATCAAACATTCCATCATTACCTCTATCTATTTATTTTTTTACATTTTTTCTCATATCACACTTAAACTTTGTCTCTTTCTCATGATGTCTAGTGGAGTGTGGTGTCCAGTAAACTTTTCCCAACTTTCCAAGTGTAAAAGTGCTAGCTAGACTTTAAATGTTTAGTGTAGTATCTTGTTAGCAATTCTGCTTTTCATACAACTCGTTGTAACACTTTTTCTCTCTACCTCTCTCCATTACATCTTACACTTTGAAGAATATATTGTTTAACTTATCATACGAATAACATTTTTCTCCCATTCCTGTAGAATTGATCATATAATTTATCGTGCAAATATAAAAATGAAACAGAAGGGAAGGAAGAAGTAAAAACCTGCATGTTAAATGCAACCATCTGAGCTCCGTGCATCCACCCGACCAATGGGTTATAATTTGTTGAGGTAATACGAGTGCCTTTTGGATACACTCTCAGTATATTCCGCTGAGTAAACCTGCCAACAAAACAACCAATAAATAAATACTTCTCTTTTTCATTTGCAAATAAACAAAACATCCTGCTATGGATTTGTTTCAAAGCTGAATAGAATAGAAGGGCTTTGCATTTGTTTCAACTTACAACCAATAAGAAAACCATTAGGTATGTCATCTAAACATAACGCACTTAGAAGCTTCTAATATGGGCACTAACTCTATCAGATAGGTTCCCTTAGCACATGTCTTGAGTAGTCAGACACTAAGGCTGTAAACTATCAAAAGAGCCTGAAAGTCTTAGTTAAGAACTACCTAGTTCTGTCTCGCATTTCTTACTACTGAAATCATAAATTCATAAACAAAAACCCATATAACAGTCAATTTTTACTACAATTACATTAATTTCAAAATATATTTATATCCAATTGATAACAAATCAAGAGCAGCCAACCACTTACAAATGAGTTTTCTCTCAAGGACTAACTGGAAACAGTTGACAATACCTGATAATTTCTTTTCTATGAGTTTCAGCAGCCTTTTCAAGTTGTACCTCACTTAAACTTAGACGTCTCACTGTAGCAGGATCCACTTTGAGACATTCCTTTAACCCACCTTTAGGCTTCCCAGCATGAATGGCAATTAAACGTCTGTATTCGTCTGATGCATTTTGACGTGACCTTTCTGCTTCATCACTATCATCCTCATCATCAAGATCACCTTCGTCCACAATGTTCTACAAAAGATATTAAGCCAAAAAATGAACCAACCAATCCCTCCCTTACAAAATTAAATGCTGTGGAAATTATTGTTAACGATGACTTAGTCTCAGACTTTGTAATCAGAGATAGTGCCACCTCTCAAACTAGGGACTTCCTTCCCCCATGCTTCTTCATCGTCTACAGGCTTTTCCTTTTGTGATTCCTCCCCCTTTTCCTGAACTTCTTTTGCCTCAATGTACTCCTTAGGTGGTTTGGTTGAAATGATAATCCTCCTTTTAAGTGATTGAGGAGAAGGAAATTCCTTCAACCTTTCAGAACTAGGAGTAAATAGCATGTCTCCAAATGTTTGAGTAACCATCTAAAAATTTGAACAGAACTGTCAAGTGTCAACTATAAGAATAAGAAAAAGCATTTTGATTTCTTCAAGTAAGTAACCTCAGCCACTTTGGCCTGAAGATCGGGAGTAAGGTGGTCTTCTAAGGTTATTACAACTGGATATTCTGAGGCAACAAAGGCATACTGCTTAATAGACCTCAAACACTTGATGAGTGCCACAGGAGATGTCAAAGTCCTGTATTGCAAAGAAAAAAATAGACATGAAAGAACTATATTTCAAAATGTTTTAGGGTAAAAAAACATAAATTCAGATTGTCTTCAGTAATAATACATTGGAATAATATCATTTTCCTGCCGATCCATATTGCATCATTTTGTTTGCAATTAGTAAATACATAAATAAGTTTTCATCACATTGCTGGAAATACTATTTCCTTCACAAACTTTTGTTCTTCAGGCAATGAATGCTTACAGTCTCAAGACCACATTAGAGTAGAGACAGAGAACTGAAATGAATAATGAGTTCTGAAATGGATGGATTGATTACTTGAAACAATACATGAGGAAGGGGAGTACGGGGCAAAGGAAACAAGGGAGCTGAGTTAAATTCTAGTTTAAAAGTCAGCAACAATGAATCAGTAAACTAACCTTCCATGAAGAACATCCACATCATCCTTTGAAGCATTGGGCCATATATCTAATTCAATCACCCTTACACCCTTCTGCAGTGCATTGATGATGGGGACGTCACTGCAGTCACTGCTAAGTTGGTTCCCAGTTAGATAGGAATTATGACCAGTATAAATGAAGTAATGAGACAACGGTGAAGACATATCTTGGTGCACCTGCCAATGGAATAGTAGAAAGAACGTAATCACACAAGCACTACAACCTGAACAACAAAGTCCATGTAATCAATACATGAAACTAAGTCAATAGTTTAGTACCTAATAGCTAGTTGTTATTTATCGAATGGAAGATATAGACGGAACAACTTATAATCAAAATGAAACTGAGTCAAAGTAAACTAAGCTGGAACGATCTTATTAACTGCTAAGAATTGAGATTGAGGACCATAGAGACTAAAGTAGTCCATACCAACAGACAAAACTACAAAAAATTAGAACAAGCAAGACAAAAAAAAAAAAAAAAAAATCTTGCTTACTAGTGCCTTAAAAGACTTATCAAAAAATCAGTAAATAATAAGTTTTTATTATTGGAATTGCATTAGAAATTACAGAGTGTTGAACTGTTACATTTTGAGCATAAAAATTCACTCAATCAATGTCTTGAGACACTTGCTGATATAAGGGAACTGATTAACATTTTTAAAAAGTAAAGAATAAGATGACCATTTATTCATTCCCAAATGAAAAACACATGTACATGAAACAAAAAATGTTACCCCGAGAGAAGGTGAAAGAGGTGGATTATTATTGTGACGGAACAGGAAGTTGAAGAAACTCTCAAGATTGAGACCCCTTCGGTGAAAGATACTGAGATGCTTGTGGCCATCGATGATGACCTGTGTTTCCTCCTCAGTGGCACTCTCCTCCTTCTGCACATCAACCAGGAAACTGCGGAGGTGAGAGGCTGTCATGACGCCATGCTCATCGGAGTAACGGTCGAAAAGGGTCCGTATCTCCGGGGGGACCTCCGACACGGGGAGCCTGAAGCGGCGGTGAAAACAGAAGCAAAAGCTGTAAGTCTGTTTGGACATGCCTTACTCAAAGTTTTGTTTTTCTTCACTCTCTGTATGTGTCTCTCCCAACCCAACTCCTTGAAGAAGATAATTAACGGGATGAACGCGTACGTGTGAGTTGTGTGTTGGAGATATCCTTTTGGTCGGAGAATGGATACGTTTCTTGTGGTTGGTGGCAACGAAATGGTTGTCTTGTCGTGGATACGGTTCCAGAGTCCGAATGCATGGGAGGGGACCACTTCCAACCTCCAATCTGTTAGATGATAGGCACTTGGCAGTGCCAACACTTTCTTCAAATCCGCCATCTTCCTGTGGGCTCTCACCTTTTTGAATTTTTTCAAACCAAATATGGAATCAAATCTTCTTGTTATCTTCTACATTTTTGAAGAAAAATATCAAAAGATGTTGATGGGAGAAAAGGAACGCAAAGAAACAAGTACATTATATGTAAATTCATTCTTTGTTTACATAATAAAACTTAATAATAATAAAAATATTTCAATATTAACACTATTTTTACAATACCATTTTAATATTTTAATAAACTTTTAAATTATAAAAAATTGTAATGTTTCAAATATAAAATTATAAATGTGAACGAATAAATCTTATAAAAATATAATATAAATTGTTTAAAAATACGTGACATGATAAGACTTATTTACAGTCTAATAAAATTCACGTGAATTTGACATTATAATTATTTTAAATCTCTTAATAATTTTAGAGTTTTATTTAAGTTTCTTAAATTATTATTATTGTTATTATATACGTGAAAAAATTAAGTTTGAGATACAAATTTAAGAAGGGATTAATTTTAAAATTTTGAGAGAGTTTTTTGTTTGTATAAATTTCAAAGACAAAGGTCATAAATAACAAGATGGACTAGATTAGTCATTTATTTATTTTAAACAAAATTGTAAATATTTAGTTTTTGTTTTCCTAAAGCAATTCAACAGAGACAGAAAATTATATATCTGATACACATCTCCCAAGTCAATGTTCATCCACAACACACTACACATGATTCCCCAGTTCTGGTTTTGGGTTTTTTTTTCTTCCAAGTCAACGGCTTTTATTTAGGACATTTTGAATATTGACAAGCTTTGCAACACAAATGTCTTCTTCACATCTCCCCGATAAAACAAAATGAACATTACAGTTTCACATGGTAATACAGAAGGATGCACAATCAAATGAATTCAAAAAAGCATGAGAAGTCTCACATGCTCATACCGTTCTCCTTTGCAAGAATATAGTGCAACTGCTCGAATTCCCTTTGTAATACATTGAATAAGTTAAGTTAGTTAGTTTTTGTTTTAACATAACATTTTTCTCATGTATATAAATTACATTAATATTCTCATATATATATATATAAACTACATTGACAATGTAATAAAGAAGAAAATGCAGTATGAAGAACATAATTTGTAATCAAGATTTCATTTCTTAATTAAGTAAACGTGGGAGACGAACGACTGGTGATAATAATTACAATTTTTTTTTATAAATCTTCCAATTCTCACAAAGAAAATTTGGGATCGATGAAGTATATAGATATGGGTATTGTTCAAGTTCCAAGATGTGAGTGATGTGGCTGAAAGTGGCCGCTAAGGCTTGCTTCGGGTACTACAGATGCGGAGAAGGTGGTGACCAAGAAAAATGATAACAAAACATTGTTTATCATTCATCAATATGTTGATATGTTCATTTTGAGAAGATTTAAAATGCAATCACTGCTAAGGAAGTCTAGGACATCTTGGTTCGAAGTCATATAGGAGGTAGGAAAATCAAGAAAGGTGAAGCTCCAAACCCTATGAAAGTAGTATGAGTTACTACAAATGGAGGATAGTGATAGAACCAGTGAGTATTTCACCAAAGTGCTCACAATCACGAATAAAATGAAGGACTGTGGAGAATTTATCATTGAACTTATGATTGTTGAGAAAATGATGAGATCTTTGCCAGAAAAGTTCAACTATATAGTGGTAGCGATAGAAGAATCGAAAGATCTATCAATAATGAAGATTGAAGAACTTCAAAGTTCTTTGGAGGCACATGAGATGAGACTAGTGATAGAAATCTTATCAAGAATTTTGAGCAAGCTTTAAAAGTACATCATTCCAAGAATAATGAAAGAAAGAAGCAAAAGAAGTGGAAAGGGAAACAAGCAAAGGGAGATTGAAAGTCTGACAGAGCCGTGCATGATCATGATAGCAAAGCCTGATTTAGTAGAAAGAAATAGATCAGAGAAGAATCAAAAGAAGAGAGATAAAAGAAGTGTGGAGTGTTTTAATTGTCACAAATTAGGACGATACTCCTATGAGTGTCATGATGATAAGGGAAAGCAGTATTAAGATAAGGAGACTTATGTGGCACAAGAAGATTCTGACTCTGAACCATTGACCTTGATGGTAACCACCACTATAGAGAATTCTAATTCTCAGGCTGAGTCTTGAGACCTAGATTCAGGATGTTCGAATCATATGACTTGTCATAAGGAATGGTTGATCAATTTTGATGCAGCAAAGAAGAGCAAGGTTAAATTTGTTGATGATAACACATTGAAAGTTGAAGGGGTGGAGATGTTATTATTCCGGGGAAGAATGGGTCGTAGCTAGTGATCTCCAACGTGTTGTTTGTTCCTAAAATGAAGTGCAATCTTTTGAGCATTGACTAATTGGTGCAAAAAGGATTTATAGCAATCATGGGAAATTATGACAAGATTGAATTGTTTGATGTTGTTGAATATAGAGGAAATAGGGTTTGAGATTAATCTCCCTTGTGTATAAATCACACATAGGTAATCTATTTATAATAGGGAGAGGTACAACTAAAAGAGTAACCGAAAATAAACAAAATAAACAGAAAATATTGTTTGATACTGTGGTTAACAATATCTAACAATATCTTAATAATATCTAACACTCCCCCTCAAGCTGTAGCATACAAATCGTATGTGTCAAGCTTGTTACAAATATAATCAATTATAGGTCCCCGTAAAGACTTAGTAAAAATATATGCTAACTGATTACTTGAGTTAACAAACTCAGTCTTGATGTCTCCAGACATAATCTTTTCTCGAATGAAATGATAATCAATCTCAATGTGTTTGGTCCTCTCATGAAAGACAGGATTAGAACTAATATGAAGAATAGCCTGGTTGTCACACACAAGTGTCATTTGAGTAACATCTCCAAATTGTAACTCTCAAAGTAATTGCTTGAGCCAAACAAGTTCATAGGAAGATGAGGTCATAGCTCTATATTCTGCTTTTGCACTGGATCTTGCCACAACACTCTGTTTTATTACTTTTCCACGAAATCAAGTTACCACCAATAGAGACACAATATCCAAATGTAGATCTTCTATCCGAAGGAGATCCTGCCCAATCAGCATCTGAGTAGCAAACAACTCTTGTATGGTTATTAGAACCATATAATAATCTTTTTCCAGGAGATCCTTTAATATACTTCAAGATACGAATGACTGCATTCCAATAATCTTCACATGGAGATTAAGAAATTGGCTTACCACACTACCTGCAAAGGAAATGTTAGGACGAGTAAGTGTAAGATAATTCAATTTTCCAACTAATCTTCTATACTGCTCAAGATCAGATATAGGCTCCCCCTGATTTGGTAGAAGTTTAGTATTAGGATCCATGGGTGTATCAACAGACTTTGAATTCATCAACCCAGTTTCCTCCAAAATATCCATGACATACTTCCTCTGAGATATAACAATATCATCATTGGATTGTGTCACCTCAATACCCAATAAATATCTAAGTTTGTTAAGATCTTTGGTCTGAAAATGGTGACATAGATGTTGTTTCAACTGAAGATGTTGTTTTAACTGAGAGATGTCATGGTTGTCACTACCTGTAAGAACGATATCATTAACATATACTATCAAGTAAACACATCCAACACTCGAGTCTCGATAAAAGACAGACTGATCTGTTTCACATCGAGTCATACCAAATTGTTGAACAATCTTGCTAAACTTTCCAAACCAGGTCCTAGGAGACTTTTTTAGGCCATATAGGGATTTACGAAGACGACATACCATCCCAAAAGACTCCCCCTGAGCAATAAACCCAGGAGGTTGTTCCATATAGATTTCTTCTTGCAAATCACCATTGAGGAAAACATTTTTAACATCTAGTTGATAAAGAGGTCATTGTTGAAGAGCGACCATGGTGATAAATAAACGAACAAAAGCCATTTTCGCCACGGGAGAAAAGGTATCTCCATAATCCAACCCAAAAATTTCAGTATAACCTTTGGCCACAAGACGAGCTTTGAAACGATCAATAGTATCATCAAGTCCAACTTTGATAGCAAAAACTCACCTACAACCAACAACATATTTTTCAGACGGTAATAGGACCAATTCCCAAGTTCCACTATTATGAAGAGCATTTAGTTCATCTAACATGGCTTGACGCCAACTAGGATGGGCTAAAGCTTCACGGACATTTTTTGGAATGGTCATAGAGGAAAGACATGTATAAAAAGGTAATGATAGTCGATGATAACTCAAAACAATATAACGGGGAGAGGGATTATGTGTAGAACAGATACTTTTCGGAGGGCAATGGGAAGGTCAGACTCAGGTGTCAGATCCGGAGGAGATAGAGTAGTTGGCACTTGAGTGGAGTCACATGGTGGTGGTTGTGATTGATTTCGGCAACTATAAACCTAAAGAGGCGGTGGAGAAGAAGCTAACTGCGAAACATGAACTAATGGTGAAGAAGACACAGTTAGAGAGTCACACACAACAAGAAAATTAAATGTACTAGGAGTGTTGACAGGATTGGATGGAGACAGAGGTGAAGACTGACTTTTAAAATAAAGAGAGAACTCATCAAAGGTGACATCTGCAGACACAAAATAACGATTAAGAGAAGGAGAAAAACATTTGTATCTTTTTTGTAATCTTGTAAACCCTAAGAAAACACATTTATGTGATCTAGGAGAAATATTATCAAGACAAGGACTTAAATTATG